AAAAAAAAAAAAAAAAACCAAAATCCCAAACACTTCTGATACAAATATTTCAGATAAGAGATACTCAACCTGTGTTTGAGTACTTACCATCTCCAAAAAGATGTTTCATGAGCCTGGTAAGCGTTTGCTTAAGATCAAACTCTACAAGCTTCATGGCCTCCATGGTGTGAGTCTCTTGTTTATGTGTAGAGCGAGAACTTTGTTCAAAGAGCTGCAGGCTTTCTCCATCCTCTATACCAGCAAATAACTGTAAACCAACAGGAAAACATAAAAAAAGAAAATATCCTGGCCCATCTATATCAAATAACTTTAAAATTCTGCTAAAAATCTTTTGACTTTAAAAAGTTATAACATGGGAATAAGACTCATTACGTCTTGTCAATAAACCTAATGAAATTAACATTCACTTAGTACTAACTCTGAAGAAAGCGCTACATTACATGGTATGGAGGGTCTTTAGAGAATTAAAAGACACTCTTTTGATCTTTGCTAATCTGTTTTTCATTTGCATGAACTTACAGTCATTTCCTAAGAAGAGACATTATCTTTAGTTCTAGTGGAAATACTAGTGAACCACTTTCAGACTCTAAAATTATAACCCTGACCATCCCACAGTGTAGAGAAATTAAATCCTGTAAGCTCCATGAAGGTAGGAAACAAGATGGAATTTGTTAACTCCGTATCTGCAAAGCCCAAGGCTGAGCCTGAGACATGTTTCTGCCACTTACTATCCATGTAAACTTAGGCAGGTGATATGGTAGCTAAGCCTCAGGGCATCATCTGTAAAGTGGAAATAATAATAGCAAATTAGTAGATTTTATTAAAAACAAAATAATATATGAATAATACAGAGTATCTGGCACATTCACATTCCAATGGCTAAGTAAGTTTTCCTCATTTTTGTTATGATTATTAACTACAGCTATCACCAGTCATAAGCTGCTTTACCACTGAAATAAAATTACCTTCTGGTCAGTGACATAGCAGGTCTTTACTTGGTACAAGATTGACTCAAAATGGATAACTGAGCAAATGAATCTATCATTCTTCCCACCCCAAGTCCCATAAGCAAACATAAAAAATGTTATAATGAAAGAATGAATCAGCTGCCATTTCTAGTAATAATGGTTTGGGTCATTAGAACCAAACTTCCTAATACATGCTACTGAAAAAAAATACAGAAATTCTTAAAAATACAAAACAATGGGCCAGGCGCGGTGGCTCAAGCCTGTAATCCCAGCACT